GGCCAGGTCACAGCAGCTGGATTCGCAGCAGCTGGAGGTGTAGCAAGGGGCCTCACAGCAGCTCTCGGGGCAGTCGTCCACCTGCCAGGAGAGGCTGGTGCAAGAGCCCCAGGACTCAGGGTGGCAGACCCGGCTGCCATAGCTCAAGTCACTGGAGCAGGTGGACAGGGTGGAGGCGGCCATGGTGGGTGGTGGGATGCGGGAGGGAGTGTGAGTGTGTGAGTGTAAGTAAGGTGCTGAGGGTTGCAGCTTTTATACCCCTCCTGAGTGTGTGTGTTGCCCCAGAAGCAGGCTGAGCAGGGCCTTCCCTTCCTGGTTGGTGCTGAGAGCTGGTGCAGGAGACCCTTCATTAGTGCTACTGTATTTTCTATAATTAGTTTGCTCATTAAACTTGAGTTGTGTTGCAGGATGTTTTTCCAAATATCCTTTGGAAAGTTAAGGAAAATATTTGAAGCCAGTGTTGTTGAGTTGGACACTTAGATGTGGACACTTCTCCAAAGTGATGAACTTTATTTCTATCTTTCCCGAGTTAGGACAGCTAACACAGTGGGGATGGAATACATTGACACATTTAAATGCATATGACATGAAACCTGCACATATTACAAACTATAAATGGTGCAGAGCAGTAGATCATGGAAAGCTCCCTTCCCTTCCACCTCCACCCCCGAGATCCCCTGTGTCTGTTTAAAGAGAAGGCTCCCAATTTCAATGTCCAAAGGCCTGGTTCAGCCTCTCTGCTCTTGTTCTCCTGTGTGACACACTCAGATGTGGCTCTGTGACAGGTCAAGCTCTCCTCAGGCATTGTCCTATTTCCATTTGTCATGGTAAAAGATCATACTTTTTCACAAATGGTAGTGGGAATCCTTGTATGTCTGAAAATGTGTCAATGTCACACTTTATGATAGTTTGTCTGGGTATAGAATTCTGATCTGAAATAATTATTTCCTCACAATGTTGAAGAGTTGAAGACAGACTTCCATTTTTTTGTGTTTTCCAGCATTGCTGCTGAGAGTCTGAAGCTGTTCCTTTTTTGTTTTTCATCTTTTTTTTTGTACTCTGCAGGAGCACTTGGTTTTCTTTTGATTCTTGTTGTACATGTTTTGGTACAACATCCAGACTTGTACATTACTTCTCTTTCTGTGGTTGGAGCTCATTGAGGCTTTTGGGGTGAAAGCTCATTTCAGGAGATATTTTTGTTCTATTAAAAAAATTATTTGGTCTTTCCTGGTATCCCTGTGTGATCTTATTAGATGTCTGAACTTCTGGAAATAGCTGTCATGTCTCAAAATTTTCTTTCACTTCCCCTTTGTTTATCCTTTGCTGTCTTCTCTAGGAGATCTTCTTCATTTTCAGACCACATTTCAGTCTTTAATCATTTCTAGCATATTATTTGGCCTTTACATTGACTTATTTACAATTTTTAAATCTTTGGACATCATTACCTGATTTTTTTCTTTTTCTGCAGCTTGATTTCATCTTGTGACATGAATAAGACGTTTCCTATAACTGAGCATGTCAGTGTTTGTTTCTATAAGCTTCCTGCCATTTCTTAAGCCATGTGTTCATTTGACATCAGGTAAGGCCTGCTCTTGGTGTCAGTTTACCTGCTTTTCTAAACCAAAGACAAAAAGGACTTAGCTATTTTGTATTTGTGCATTTGGATCCTGTTCCAATTTATAAATGAATTTGTTTCCATCCACTCCTCTACTCTACAAACATATAGAGGGGCTGGTGAGCCCTTTTTTTNTTTCTCCAGGTGTGTGCAGTCTGATGCCATCTTCTTTCCTGTTGCTCTCTCAGGATTATTGTATTAATTATATTTTTATATTATATGTGGTTTTAGGAGGAAGCCTCTGTTTCACCTCTCACGCTGCCATCTTTAATCTTCTCCCTTTCTTTCTTTCTATACAAAAGTAATGGTGCATTTGTCAGACTGGATCCCCCGAGAAGTAAATGCCAAGTCAGGGTAGGTTGCAAGTGGTTTATTGTAGAAATGCCCGAGGTAGGTAAAGAAGAGCCCAGGGGCAGGAGGGAGAAAGTTAAGGCAGTGAAAGCTGACCCGACCCTCTGATTACAGAGTGGGAAGGGAGCAGACTGGGCAGGCAGCACCTCAGGCCACTGCCCAGCCCTAAGCAAGGCTCAGACAGGGGCTGCATGCAGCACCAGAGCAGAGGAGCCTGTAGGAGAGCAGAGGGGTGTCCTCCAGGACAGGGGGCCTGTGATGCGGCAAAGACCTGCTGAGGACGCGGGATCCTCACACTGGCAAGGAGGGCCACAGGGGCCAGGAGGAGAAGGTGGGATGTAGGGATGGGCTTCCGCAGTGCCAGGCTTCCCGAGGTCTTTGTGATTGACTGTGGCTGCAGTGCCACCTCCCAGCTTGTGTGGGGACGTTGGCAGGAGAGCATAGGGCCTTGGCTGGGGACCTCAGCCAGCAGCACAGGTGGCCGCTAAGTGTCCTGTCAGGCCCTGGACTCTAGGATCTTCCTGCTTCTCTATCCCCATGAAAAGTCATGGGATGTTACCTTCCAGAGTCCTGGCGTCCTGGGGTTGCACCCTCCCCCCAGCCCCTGCCACACCCCGCTTGGAGCTGGGGAGGAGGCACAAAGCAGCGTGTAGGGTGCAGAGAGCCAGCTTATCAGGCAGGCGGCCAGGTGCTCCCTTGGGACAGACGAGGGGTGGGACAGCAGGAGGGATGGGGGTGGGGGGATCGGGTTGCCCGTGAGGATGGTGGCCTGTGCTTGGGTTCTGGGATGGCCGTGGAAGCAGCTGTCAGCTTCCTGGGACACAGAGCAGACACCCCACAGGTGTTCTTTCTGTGGGTTTAAACTCCTAGGGGAGGCTAAGTGCCAGTGTCTCTGCGATCACCCCTCCTGCTGAGGGACTGAGCCCGGCTGGCCTGGGGGTAATGAGTGGGTCAGCAGCAGGTGGGGTGGGTACATGAGGGGCGGCAGAGCAGGGACATGCAGGAGGCCGGGCGGCAGCAGCTGGGCTGGCAGGGGGAGGCAGGGGCATAGCAGGGGGAGGTGGGCACACAGCAGGCGGGCCTGGACACGCAGGAGGAGGGTCTGCAGCAGGACAGGGGGCAGGGGGTGGGCTGGCAGCACGGGGGAGCTGGGCAGGGGGCAGCCCCAGAGCAGATGGGCACACAGCACACAGGCTCGCAGCACATGGGCACACAGCAGTCCTGCTGGCAAGGGGAGGAGGTGAAGCAGGGGGGCTGGCAGGTAGACTGGCAGCAGGAGGAGGCTGGGCAAATGGAAGACTCATAGAAGAGGGGCTTACAGCACATGGGTTTACAGCACATGAGCACACAGCAGGCCTGCTGGCATGGGGAGGAGGTACAGCTAGAGGGCTGGCAGCTAGACAGCTGGCAGCAGGAGGGTATGCACAAGCTGGTGCAGGCTGACTGGCAGGGGCTGCACCCGCAGCTCATGGGGGTGCAGACAAGGGTCAGGCAGGGGGCCAGGTCACAGCAGCTGGATTCGCAGCAGCTGGAGGTGTAGCAAGGGGCCTCACAGCAGCTCTCGGGGCAGTCGTCCGCCTGCCAGGAGAGGCTGGTGCAAGAGCCCCAGGACTCAGGGTGGCAGACCCGGCTGCCATAGCTCAAGTCACTGGAGCAGGTGGACAGGGTGGAGGCGGCCATGGTGGGTGGTGGGATGCGGGAGGGAGTGTGAGTGTGTGAGTGTAAGTAAGGTGCTGAGGGTTGCAGCTTTTATACCCCTCCTGAGTGTGTGTGTTGCCCCAGAAGCAGGCTGAGCAGGGCCTTCCCTTCCTGGTTGGTGCTGAGAGCTGGTGCAGGAGACCCTTCATTAGTGCTACTGTATTTTCTATAATTAGTTTGCTCATTAAACTTGAGTTGTGTTGCAGGATGTTTTTCCAAATATCCTTTGGAAAGTTAAGGAAAATATTTGAAGCCAGTGTTGTTGAGTTGGACACTTAGATGTGGACACTTCTCCAAAGTGATGAACTTTATTTCTATCTTTCCCGAGTTAGGACAGCTAACACAGTGGGGATGGAATACATTGACACATTTAAATGCATATGACATGAAACCTGCACATATTACAAACCATAAATGGTGCAGAGCAGTAGATCATGGAAAGCTCCCTTCCCTTCCACCTCCACCCCCGAGGTCCCCTGTGTCTGTTTAAAGAGAAGGCTCCCAATTTCAATGTCCAAAGGCCTGGCTCAGCCTCTCTGCTCTTGTTCTCCTGTGTGACACACTCAGATGTGGCTCTGTGACAGGTCAAGCTCTCCTCAGGCATTGTCCTATTTCCATTTGTCATGGTAAAAGATCATACTTTTTCACAAATGGTAGTGGGAATCCTTGTATGTCTGAAAATGTGTCAATGTCACACTTTATGATAGTTTGTCTGGGTATAGAATTCTGATCTGAAATAATTATTTCCTCACAATGTTGAAGAGTTGAAGACAGACTTCCATTTTTTTGTGTTTTCCAGCATTGCTGCTGAGAGTCTGAAGCTGTTCCTTTTTTGTTTTTCATCTTTTTTTTTGTACTCTGCAGGAGCACTTGGTTTTCTTTTGATTCTTGTTGTACATGTTTTGGTACAACATCCAGACTTGTACATTACTTCTCTTTCTGTGGTTGGAGCTCATTGAGGCTTTTGGGGTGAAAGCTCATTTCAGGAGATATTTTTGTTCTATTAAAAAAATTATTTGGTCTTTCCTGGTATCCCT